TGTCTCATTGAGCGGACCTAGCCAAAGTATAAGAAGTAGGTATGTTTGCAACCAGCAAAGATTCATCGGGGCTGCAATGTGGTGCGCCGAGGACCTATTCGCAATCTAGAATCACAGCGCTACGCTAATCGTCATACAGCTTCCGATGAGGACAACTTACGAATCCCTTCCACTCGCCTCTTCACACGAAATGAAAGGTTCTCCAACATTAATTTTTTAAGAGATTATTCGAAAACCCCTTTTAATATCTTTTTATAGTCCTCAAATTTTAACTTCTGTATAATTTTACTTTTGTATGTCTCAACAAGTTCTTGAGTTTCAGGTATCAGCAGAATAGTTAGCCTTAGAAGCACAATGAGACCCATCTAAAGGATGAGACGTCTTAGCTTACATTTTGTTTTAATATCCAATCTCCTAGGAAAACTAAAGAATGGGGAGCCCCTAGTTAACAAAAGGTGCAAAATAATGATCCAAAGGAAGAATATAGTAATCTCTGTTGAGCCTTTCTAGAAAACATAATTTTTACTTCCTCTTAGTCATATTATCATTGGTATAATGCTTATTTAAAAATACCATTGTCCTTTTGCAACAGATTGGCATCTCTCATTCCCATGGAAAAGATGAAGATCGACCCGTCCAACGTGGTCCACCCTAATGAAAATGAAAGCCGAACCTCTGAGCCCCATTTGTTGACTCTTCCTCATGAAGAGCGGACGAAAGAGTCAGTTATGATGGGAAGCAATCATGAAGTCCATCTAAACAGAGTAGCGCATTTGGGGGACAAGGTGCCCCCTAAAATGGACAAGGTCGAGAATATCAATGGTCATAAGTTAGAAAATATTGAAATGCGAGAAAATTCAAAGAAAGATGAGAAGCTTGAAGAAAGAAGTGAGGATGAACTGATGTTTCTGCCGGAAGCCGAGCATGATTCTCACGGGGCAATACTGAAGAAAACTGGTAATTAAATGATGGTCTGTATATCAATTTGGGGAGCAAACTATTAATCAGCATCGATAAGTGCTCTTTTTATATGGAAATGCTATTAATATGAGGCAAACAAGTTCTCAAGTATTACGTTTGTGTTCATAAACCACAGCTTTATTATCTTTTGCATACTATTAGTAGATGTTTGCATATTATTCGTTAGATGGTATATTACTAAGTGCATGAGGGCCCTGGTGACACAGGATTGCTCTTACTTTACATCAAAGTAGACCTTGTTCTGACATGAAAAATCATTGCCATTCAACTCATTTTTTTGTCATTTGGAAAATGTCATTAAATAATCGCATCACACCGATTGAGCTAAACCAGTAGATTTCAATTAAAGTTACTCAAAAATGCTCGGGCTTCCATTTACCTATATATTTATTAGTAAAGCACTTAATACTCAATATTTCCCAAATCAGAATTCTGATTTAATGGATATGGAAAGAAAAGTATTCCTTGTGAGTACTTTTATTTAGTTCCTCATGAGTTAGTGAGTATCTCTTAAATAAATATCATAAATAAATGTAAACAATCATGCAGTTAATAATAGAGGAAAAGTTAATATTGATGAAGGATTCAAACTCAAAATTGCACGGTAACTTGTAAAATTTCCTTAAGTTGAATCCAGTTATGATTGATGCAACCCTTCTCTTAAGGTTTGCTCGTTCAGAATATGTATATCAACGCCAAGTGTTAATATGACAATGATATTTCAAAATGTATTCACCCTATTTCGTTTAAGGTGATGAAGGACTGTTAGTAGAATTTTCCCACAAGGATGTGAATAGAGCTGACGTTTTCATTGAATTTCATATAGCCTTGCTTTCCCTAAAGCTGTTCTCATCCAGGGTGGACTGCAGTTTCAACCTCAAATACGAAAAATAAGTAACGTACTCGATTGTTATAACGAATATACGTTTGCTTCATCAACAATCGCACCAAAGAATGTGATATGGCAAAAGGTCTGGTCTTCCTTGAAATTTACATCTGCCCTGTGACCCAGGGGCACTCGTGGTAATGTGGCCGTGTACTTAACCTATCAAGCTCCCATTTCGCACTTTCACGGTTCGACTCCCACTGGGAGTGTTGATAAAACCGATGCCAGGTCGAAACTGCAATCCACTCTGGGTGAGAACAACTATTGGGAAAACAAGGCTATGTGAAATTCAATGGAAACGTCAGCTCTACTCGTAGCATTGTGGAAAAATTCTATTACTAGTCCTTAAACGAAATATGGTGAACACATCTCATATTACTGATTTACTTGTAGTCTCAAGACTCTATTCGAAAACGAAAAATATGATATTTTAGGTAACCATAATCTTGATAGTCTTTTATTGTATTAAGACTTTTTGCACTTACTAATAAAATATTGCCCTTATTGCTAACCAATCCCCTTTTACCTGCTTATCAGTGGTTAAACGATTCGGATCAGATGAGAACTGCATATCAGAAGACAGTGGGACTGGCTCGGCTTCACACAATATCGCTGAGAAACTACCTCCCGTCGGTTGAGAGCTATAGCCCTTATATATCATGAAACTAGCATGGGCAGAGCCCAATGATTTACTTTACGTTCTGAGTCAATTTTACTAGATTTCATAATTGAATGACATAATATTTTCTTGGTGAAATATTAAACATTATCATATATATATGTATATATATATATATATGTATGTATGTATACGGACACAGCAGAAGCACTGTTGATTTAAATATTCATATTTCATCATAGTTAATATTGAGTGTTATAGCTGGTTCTAGGTAACCAGCGTCACCAGTTCATTCCATGAGCTTATTTTTAATGTTAGATCTGATTGCGACCATTTTTTACAGTTTTACTTGCTACTTGTAAGTAGTAATTAGATTATTATTCTCTGTTGCAACTTCGTGTTGGCTTCTTTATTTAACATTGCTGGGGGGGACTTTCATTTCGTGTGAAAGTGCATGAAAAAGAGATTCGTGGGGCAATTTCACCAGAATGGGACGGATGAAGCCTGTTGTACTGCAGTCGTTTAGCTTTTATATGACGTTGAGTTTGACGCCGTCCACAGGATCTCCTCCCTCGTTTCGGGTGAAAACGGACTGGACTTTCATCCATCATATGATGGACATCATCAGAGCTGGGTTTCGTTCCTGTAAAAGTTTCACTTTAACACTAGGGCAAGAAGACTATCCGGCTCCATCTTAATTCTTACATAGACTCAATAAGGCAAAAGGAAATAAAAAAACGTGGATAGATATAGTGTTTGGGCTATTTAACCTTCATACTGATCCTATTACTTTTGCTTGAGTGTGTGTGTTAGCGTCCATACATAATACCCATCATAAATCATAGTTATCAAGAGGCTAATGTTATGTTCTAAATCATCAAGGCCTAATGGCATAAGAAAAA